TAATGAGCTCTGTTCTTTATTTTCTTAATTCCGCTATTGGTACTTCATTTTTTTTTTTAGTTTTAAAAGGAAACGTCACCTTTATCACCTTTTCGTGCATGACTCTTGAACGATTGCTACTGATGCCGAACCAATTTCAATGAAAATCATATTGATATGGTATAACTCTTGGAGAATTGATTACGGTACAAATTCCACTTCAGACATTGTTGGTACAAAGTCAATTTCAGAGAATCTGAAATTGGCGTACGATTCCTATGAGCAAGTGCCGCAGAATAATTGAAGAAAAATGTTGTTTATTTAGTACTTCTAAAATCCTAAATTTTTAAGGATTGATTCTGTTGTAAGAAAAACTACCTGACTAGGTCGTACGCACCTACGTAGTTGTGTACTGTTCGCAGACCCGTCTAAGCTGTCTGAGAACGTCGCCTCCCAGCGAAGACAGTCACGCCGTCTCCGACGCGTCCCCTCCACGCCCTTCACCGGAGTCCGCGCGAGCGCATTGTAGCGGAGGGCGCGGCGCCGGCGCGGGCGAGCAAGCGGCTGCTCTGTTGCGCCTCCCCTCCCTTCACGCGGCCCCCCCCCCAACACCCCGACCCGCTCCGGGCCGCGCGGCACCTCACCTGCGGCGTTCTCTCGGGGTGGCACAATTCAAGCTCGGCTGGTTTTACCTCCGCTAAATACTCTTACGCGACAGGGCGGGCGCGGGCGTGCGAGCGCGCGTGTGCGTGAAGCGGGCTGGCAGCGGCGGTGGGCGGCAGCTCGCGCTTGAAGCGAGTTTGAGCATACCCCACGCGCCGCGCCGCGCCGCAACCCTTCTTTGCCGAGATCATTGTCTAGCAGCGCATAAGCTCGCAGGCGTGCGCGCCCGGGCAAAGTAGCGAGCGCCGCCCACCGCCGGGCGCCCCCGAGCGCGCAGCCTAAGCAGACAGACGTCTTGAATCAAAAACTGCACCGGCGCAGCGCGGACGGGGGCGGGGGCGGGTTCTTCACGTAATGCGGATCATGATTACAGAGGGCGCTTGGGTACGCGGGGGTGGGAGAGTGAAAGGTGAAAGGAGGAATCCTCTAGCGTGGGGCAGCAGAAGTGAGGGGAGAATAGATGTAGAAGGGAGAAAGGAACTCGGGGTGGCAGAGGTTATAGGTTGAACGCCAAAGGAATAGGAAGAAGAGTTCTGTGTATATCTCAGACGTTCTATAGACCTCTCCGAATATGAACATTTTTGGTCAGCTCGTAAGTTTGCTACACTTGAGGTAGGATAACTACGCCCAGTGATATGATGAAAATATTAGTTTTGAGGCAATAGAAATCATGAGCGATTCTTCCGGCGTTTGAGCACTTGAAGGCAGAGACGGTCGGCCCCGCCGGCAGCGGCCGGCGCTCCGGCCTGCTCCCCCTCCATCAGCACCAACGGTCCCGCAGCCCCGCACTGCAGATTGCACAGCCCGCCGTACCTACCACCATGGCCAAATCGCATTCTTTGCGACGTTTTAAGTGCGATCGACGCCGTCGACTACATAACTGACCGCGCCTCTACCTCAAACTGGTGCCATCTCTAGCGCACGTCCCTAATCGTCAAAGGCCTTTTCGCATTTCCCCAAGTCGCCAATCACCTACGCCAACGTCGTTACCCAGCGCCACCATCGCCCTTGTTTCGTTGCCCTCGCCACCATCATTCTCTCGTCACCACCGTCACCGACTCAACACCACAACAAGCATCACGTATGCCCAGCCTGGCTCTGCCCTCGCCAGCACCACCACGCCCCCTTCGCCCGCGCGCCGAATAATCCCCCTCACGCGCGCGATTCCGGGGAGCGAGCGCCGCCCGCCGCCAGCGCTGCTTTTCCCCGTGCGCGATGGGCCGTCGTAGATCCTCGCGGCGCGCGCCGAGCGCCGCTCGCCGGCACGAGAGCTTCAGTTCCAAGTGGCCGAGCCGTTTGGATCCAGCTTGCTCAATTCTCTAATTGCTTGGGGCGATTGCTAGTCATTACGCGCTCTTATGCTAAGAAGTATTGTGTTTAATGTTTCTGTACTGCTTTCCTACTTCGAAACGGTGCTTGAGTAAAATGAATGCATTAGGGATTGTGCCAGTTTTGAACGGTGTAGTTCTGGGAGATGTTCGACGCTATTTCAGTACAATTGGATGTTAGCCTCTTCAGGAATGAAAATCGTACTGCAGCAGAGAGCGTTTTAACTTGTTCTCACTCTTGAGATACTGTGAAGAATAGTCATTGCTATTAATAGGAGTAAGCCAATTTCATCTCATATGCAATAAATAATCTATCTGTTGCTTAAATACATTTGAGGAAATGTAACGAGTACAATAGTTACATGAACACTTCTTTGAAGATAATATTCGAAGGCTTATATTCTCTAATCTATTATAAATATTGCATCAGTTATTAATACTGAAACTTTTTGGCCCTATTGATGTTGTGTAGCTCTGAATTATTTCGTGGTCCATGCACAAAAGTACTCCCCTTCTCTTCTTGTATTGTAAATTCTAAGTATAATAGTAAGTTCTATTTCTAAACCACACCTGCCTATCTCTTAGATATAATTCTCGAAGGTTAAAATTATATGATGGGATGTTACCACATTTCGTATTGCTATTTAATATTTACCCCAAAATGGCTATATTTGAAATTAAGATATGATTAAACTTTGCAACAAACAATAAAAGTGCAATGCTCTCTCGTTAGGTCTGGCTGGCGCCCTTCCGTCGCCCACATATCCTGGAAAGAACACGAGCTCGACTGTCTCCCAGCGCGGATGAGAGCGCCTTCGCCTCAAATTCCGACCGGTGCGCGTGACGTGCTATTTATTTCTCGCCTTGTTTGCGATCAGCTTCGCGAACTGCGCGACCTTTCTGTTAAACCCGGGGCACGCGGAGTTGAGCCACGGAGCATAAATCACATGCCAACTTGCATGTTAAGTACAGCGTAAAGCACAGCTTTATCGCCCTGACTTCCTAATCTCAGACTTGAATTATATATAACCCTCTAAGAACCGTCTGCGTAATCCCACTTTTATAAGGCGCCACCTGTGAAACACGAAACGTGTGCGGAGACTTCGTCTCTGACTCCGGAGCACCTGCCACAAATCATCCTGAGAGAGAAGCAAATAATCAGACGGCAACGCCGGTCCGTCGAATCCGCGTTCAGGCTCCTTCACTTAGAAACCTCATCGCCATATTTACTGTCGCTCGCCTGCCGAGAGGTTGCTCCTCCTTCCCAGCCCTTCTTACGTCAGCTGTTGCTGCAGGAGGCGCTGACACCGAGATTAAGACGTGTTCGTAAAACGGCGTGTTGTAACCGAAGGCAAAAAATCTTTCTGTTGAGATGTTGAAAGAAATTTAAGTCGCATTCGTTTCTAGCACGAAAACAGTCTTCTTCATTCCGCATTTATTTTCACAGGAAAAATGTGAATTCAACTAATGATAATTTGTAATATTGCCTATTAAGTGCTCTCGTAATTGTTTTTAAACAATATGGCATACGGATTGTTTTATGAAAAAAGAAAAAACGTGGAGGTTTCATGTTAAATACACTCTTAGTACATTGAATTAATTTGAGAAAAGTTTTAGGAAGACGAATGAAAATGCGGGTACACATTTTTCGTGATTGTTTGCAAAACTTTTTTGAGATGACAGTTTTATTTCTTTAAACAACTATTTAGAAGAATGGAAAATGAAGCACAAGCGGCACTCTATATTGATTATAATATACATAACATATTTGCTTAACAAAAATTTTCATTAGATATTTATGTAAGACTGGTTGCTTCTTGTATTGTCACGCTCATGGTAGTTTATTCATTTGTTTGTATTTTGGGGGTCAAACGGCTGATTTGGGCCTGGCGGGGGTTCACCTATGCCCATAAGTAAACACCATTTAAACTACAGTAATGCCATCCTGTAATGGGAATACCAGATTTGGGTCAAAAGTTAGTAAGTCCTGCTCTCTCCTCCTAGTGGCGGCCCCTAGATGCTCTCTAAGGTGAGAGCTTGGCGAGCAGCTAATGAGAGCAGGGCGAGGGCGAGTCTCCGGTGCCTTAAAACGGGAGCACTGGGCTAAGGAAGGAAACCCTGATAGAAAACCAGCCTTCTGCCTTGCAGGGAGGAGCGAGATCTCAAAAGGCTAGAGGACAAAAACCTGAACAAGATCACGCAGGCCCAGAGGCGGAAAGGCGACAAGCCCACTGGGCAGAGTGACGTAGGGCCGATTACCCACTCACTCTTATAGCGGATTCAGAGAAACTTAAATAGCCTCGGACAAGAAAGACAACTTAGACGACGGCACAAGGAATTGAACATCAACATAAGCATAAGGAATATTACAACAATAACAAAAAAGAAGTTGGGAATAGTACAATTTAAAGATTTTGGGGATTAGTGAAGTTTAAAAGAAGGAAATAGGAGAGGTGGAATTGCATAAAGGGAATGTAATGAAACATAGCGGTGTGAATATTAAACCAAGTGCTGTTGGGGAGTAGGTAACGAAAATTATGATAAGAGGGATGAATGGGGAACCGGTAAGTGCAAGAATTATGATAGTGGACCTACAATTAAAGGAGAGAGCGGCACTGGTGAACACCACTCAAAGACAAAGATACAATAGAAAGAAATATTTAATTCCGAACGAACAGAACAGGGACGAATGATGTGGTGATAATGGGATATTGGAACGCTTGAATATGATTGGATGCGCGGAAAGGAAACGGTAGTATGGGGAAATATGAAGTGAAGGAAACAAGGAATGATAATGGGGAGCAGACACAAGAATGTTTTGTAGACAAAAAACAATTGTTGATAGGAAATACATGGTTTCCACACAAGAAAATACACAAATACACCTTTGAAACAAGAAGAAACCCGATGATAGTTAAAAGTATGATTGATTACGTACACGAAGTCATTTCGATATGCAGTAATGGATATTAGGGTGTATAGAAGTGCGGAATTAAGCACGGAGCACAAATTGGTGGATGAAAACCCGTATCAAATATCCTCCAAGAGAACGATTAAAGAAATATTTTAAAATTAAAAGTGAAAAATTGAGAATGGAAGAATATATGAAAACATATGAACAAGCAATTGAAGAAAGACTGAAAACTTAACAGGGAGAGGTGAGGGAAGGAATCGAGGCAGAATGGAAGAAACTGAAGGAAACGATACTAGAAGAGGACTTAGAAGAGGAGCAATGGGGACTTTAGTCCATACAGACAAACACAATACCATATCTACACTATAAGAACCATAATTAAAGAAATATTGAGTAGGGGGAAAACAGTATGCACTGCTTTCATAGATTTAAAGTCAGCATTCAACACAGTATCCAGGAAAAAAAACATGGGAAGTACTGGAGAAAGCAAAGGTTTCAAGCAAAATGATGAATGTAATTAAAAGCATACATAAAAATGTGTATGGTACTGTAAGGCTGGATGGACAACTAATTGTGAAATTTAGAATAGACGAAGGAGTTAAACAGGGAGATTCATTGAGCCCATTATTATTAATCATCATCTTTATGGATCAGGTTATGAAATAAAGCAAAAGGCGAACTAAGAAATGTAAAATTGGAAAATGAGACCGGCATGGATGCAAACTTTGGTGTATGCGGATGATATTTTATTGCTCGGCAAAATACAAGAGAGCTGCAAGAGATGGTAACTGAGTGAGGGTATGCACTGAAGAATAGGGGTATGAAGATAAACATCAATAAGAACAAGGTTATGTATAGGCAAAGAAAAGGAGGAAATGACAATTAAGTGGAGAGAGGAAAACATGGGGCAAGTAACAAGTTATGAATATTTAGGAACAATAATTTCGGAAGACGGAAAATATGAGGAGGAACTGAAAAATACATTGAAGAAAGCAAACTCGGTGCATTATCATATAAATAAGAACTTAATAGGAATGAAAGTAGGCTCTAAAACAAAAGTCCAAATTTATTAGTCCGTCTACATACCAACATTTATAAATGGAACCGAAAGTATGCCACATAATACGAAGACAGAAAGTAGAATCGCAGCAGTGGAAATGAAATTCCTATGCAGGATAATAGGGGAAATAAGAAGAGATCGAATAAGATATTACACAATTAGAGAAGAACTAAAAATTTCATCGCTACTAAAGGAAATGGAAAACAAGGCTCTGAAGTGGTATGGACATGTTAATAGAATGGCAGAGGATAGGAAACCGAAACAAATTATCGACGCCAGGCCAGAGAAAAAGAGACCACCTGGGAGACCCAGAGGAACATGGGACGCATGTTCCAGGACATATGGTGAAGGAGCGGAGCTACACTAGGAGAGGTGAAGCGCAAATGGCTAAACCGACGCTGAGAGTCATCAGTAGAAGAAGAAGAAGAAGGAGGAGGAGAAGAAGAAGAAGAAGAAGAAGATATTTTAAGATAACTCACCAATGAATTTTGAAAAACTTTCATGCGCGGAAGAAAAGAATCGATCAATGTACGATACAAATATCAACGAATTTGATTTACTTCACCTATATTTACTTATAGATCGATTTCGTATAGAATTTCAATTCAATCAGAAATGTTACTTTATGTGCATATTTGAGTGCAAAAAGAAATGTTGTCATTCACGGCAGCCAATAGAAGGATGTGAGTGGAGAACTCCTCTCACTGGAGTGTCTGATCAAACTCAAACGAAAGCTTTCTAGCACTCAGTATCGTAGGACATCACCCACCGCGACAGAAAGCGAATTGGGAAGCAAAGGGGTAAAACGAAGGCGCAATGGCAGATGCCTCTGGGGGCGGGGCGGGGCGGGGCGGGGCGGGGCGCAGGCCAGCATCGTCCAGAGGCGCCACATCGAGGCCTGGGCTCGGGGCCTCCGCAGTAATAAGATTAGTAAGAATTATTTCATCGCATTACTAAGATCAAAAGAGCCCCCCCCTCCAGTCTGATTCTTCGGTGGCGCGGCGACGGCGAGGGCGTCTTCCGCGCTACTCGGAGCGTCGCGGCGACCGACAGTGTGCCGTCGCGAAGGCACAAAGGCGGAGGTGGCGCGCCGGGGCTCTGCCGGGGATGGCGACAAGCTGCGACAACAGCCCCTGGGAGCGCGAACTACAGATGCGCTTAGGAGACAAACGAGGCAATGACAAGAGGTTGGGAACTGACCCCAACATCAGATCTCAGGGAGGGATCAATCCTTCGTTCAAGGAAATTGTTGCACTTACATGACTTGTTTGTTTTAATGCAAATACGATTTTCGAGAGAAAGATAATAATTTTAGACTAGGGTATTATGCTGATGGTAGGACTAAGATTATTTTTCTTAACTTCTTTCTACGATTTATCTAAAATTGTCATGAATCAAGATGGGCATATAAAAAATTCTTTAAATTAAACAAATCTAAAGTTGCCAAATTCAATATAAGAGAAATGATTGGAAACGATAAATA